AGGCTATGAAAAGCCTAGGCACCCAAACACATCTCTCTCCTCCAGCATCCTAGGCTATCCCTCCTGAACCGAACCCATCACATGTACAAAATACTGTGAAAAGACCACAAATAGCCCATACACCAAAGCAGCATCAACTTCCTTACTTCCTCTTGTTTCAATTTTATTTTTACTGCTATCTTGTTCTTAACCTCTTTGCAAGCACATCACAAAGATAATTTCAGCCCTACACTACATATTCAAGTAGATATTAAATATTACTCTAGATTTTATACCTAAGCAAACTATCAAGTCTCCTTAGTATTATCATCCAGTAACTGTAAAAATATACAATAAAATTTCAGAATACTAAGCCACATATGCTGTGTTAAAAATACCATCTCTGCAGACCTCATAAGTGTAATTTTTGGCACACTTAAAAACTGGGATTGGTGACATTAAAACATCTCACAAAGTCAAGATAACTACAATTAAAGGTTTTTTATGCTTTCATATTTAGTGTCCCAAATTATATGATTTTTTGCTTTATGCTTTCTTGTCTAAATAAATAAATTCATCATCCATCTTATATAAGGTTCCAGCCCATACAACTCCCAAGGAAGCTTTGATTATACAAATGATGCACAGAGTATCAAGATAGATAGATACATAGATAGATAGATGCATAGATAATCAATAAAAGTTCTAGCAGTTTAGACAAAATTAATGTATTATGACACTCTAACTTGCCTACATCAGTCCCCGTCTTCCCCTTCCATCTTCCTCCCTCCTGTTTCCCCTCCTTTCAGCTTCCTCTTCTTCTTACATTTTTTCATCAAAACAGGAATAATGGCTCCATCTCAGTGTGCTTGCAAGTCCTGTATTTTAGGCATGATGCGGTCTGCCACATTAAAGAACAATGCATACCACAATATAATAAGGGAAATAAATTCAAAGAAGATCCCCATAGAGACTATGATTAATATTGCTTTACTCAAAAGTTATCACAGCTGTAATATCTGTCCACAAACGATCTTTCCTCTCGAATTTACATGGAAAGAGTATTCACGTTCCATTTTCATTGCAATCAAAAGCACAGAATCCCAAATAACGACCACTCTTGACTTTGTAGGTAACTAGTATTAAGCCTGAGTTTACGTGTAGGGCTCCCAGTTTTTAAATCCACCAATGGAAGACTCAGGAATGAGCCCATAAAAGCAGCTTCTGTGGACTGTAAACCCTATGATTCTCCCCCCGCTCCCAACTGCTGGCCGAGGTCAGTATCCCTGGCATTAGCCAAGCCATAACATAATTGTATTACTGCTCCTTATGTGTGGGCAGATACTGAGCAATAACAGAACACACCACATCATTGCAAAAATGAAACAAGTGCCATGTCTTTGTCCCATTTTAGCATGAAATCAGTGAAAACAGTCTTTGGAAATGACACTGCATTAAGAAACTGAGCTGTCATTGCTCTGTAGGTATACGTTCAAACTGATGATTTGACATCTTCAACTAGAACAAAAAAAAATAGGACTATATTTTGCTACTGAACTCCAATTGGGAGCTCATTTAATCTAATTTCTTTTGGTAACATTCAGTTCAATTAAGGAATACGCCGTTACTTAAAATAGTCTAATTAGATGAAACTCTGCTCTGGTACACATCTCTCAATGTCTACAATAGAACTAAGGCTTCAGTTGCAGGAAGTGTAGGCTGTTTCCTCCAGCGAACATGCTTTTGGCCAGTCTCTGAGCTCCATCGCTCTTTCAAAAGCTGACCTACATAGAGGATAGCGCATGCACCATGGCACTAGTTGTAGCAGTTTGCCTACAGGAAGGGATACCTCTCTCGCTGGCTATAACCGAATCCATTTGCCTTGTTCCCCCAGTGGGCTACGTGGAAGTGAAGGCCAGTTTGCACTGTGATGTGTTCATCATGTGCCGGGCTCTCACAAAAGAGCACCGGGTTAAACTGCTTCCTAATGTGCCTCCTACAGAGTTTATTAACTGAAAAATCTAAATAGTGTTTTGGCAATGCACAGAGCCGTGGGGCTGGGAAGTGTCAGCGAAGTAAAACAACCACATTTCAATTCAGAAAAGCTCAGAAAGAGGATATTCATTTTCTCAATTAGGGTCTCTTCTGACGTTGAAAAAAAATGCCACCGGAAAACTATATTTACAGTTGTAAGACACCAGGGCACAGAAAGTTATGGTTCCACCGGGACTTAGCACACCAACTTTAAACAGTACAGTGCTGACAGGTTTAAAATAAAGATAATTAGCAATTTATGATCTTATCAACCTGTTCAAAACAAATAGCCCAGCAAAGTGACTGTTATTTCTAATGAACTCTATTTCACTACATCTCAGAAGGAGAACAGATTGACTTCGTAATCTTGTTTCTCTGTCCCAACTTGGGTTTTGCTGAAGCCAGACACGAATTTCTTTTTTCCACGTTTCCAAACTTCTCCCCTCTTCTTCCACATCGCCACACATCGCTGCAAAAGGAGCACTAATTGACTCAGTCCCAAGCAATTCAAATAGTGGATCTAGGCAGGAATTTTATACCAATGCCAATCGCGATGGAGTAGGAACCAAGTGCCTGCCTGGGCTTCTGTGGGATCTGGAAACCTCAGTACATTTTATACAATCAAGGATCGGTGACAAACATCTTTGATAGACTGTGACACAGGGATGGGCAGGAGAGTCCCTGGAGAAACATATCCAGGAGGTCTTTCTCTACTGGAAGAAACAAGTCTTATGACTTTGCATTTTTAAAAATCCATTCTTCCCTGGGTAAGTTAAATAGAAGACTTGCAACTAGTCTATAGAAAGGATGGCTAATTTGCATTTAAAAAGAACAGTTTGCTTCTTCCACACAGGGTGACTTAAAAGGAACTTCAATGAGCTAGCAAAGAACTGGTGAAGACTTTCAAAATTAATTTATTCAGTTCACAGCGCAACCCTCTAAAATTATTTAAGGCACTTAATTGGAAAATGATTTAATATATTGAAGTAATTCCTGATTTTCCAAAGCATTTAACTTTTAAATTAAATGTGACCCTACTTTCACAAGAATGACGAGTGAAATGTGTATTCAAGTCATTGCCTTCTTTTGGGGAAGCCTAAACTCACTGATAAATGCAATCAGACTTGTGGAGATTTACTGCCAAAAACGGGGCTGATTTTTTGATTCTGGTAGCGACAACACAACAGGTCTTTTAATCTCCAAGATAGACCTGCTACTTTAAAGAAAAAAGTAATCATAGTCTTGTTATAAAGCAAAATAAAAGGTAACAAGCACAAAACCCCGGGTTTTAAACTCAGAACAGATTATAGGTTGCAAGAATGGTGTCACCAGCAAATAGTGAAACTCCTTGGCACAAACGCCTCTGCTTACTGAAGTTCCAGTACCTTTCAACTTGTCTCTGACTCAAGGGCTCCCTGTGTGTGAGTCTTTCTATTTTACCCACTTCCCTAACTCCTAATCCTCTTGCACACACCTCTTTTCCTGAGTATTAAAGTGGACAAGGCATCCAGTTGTTTCTCCACGGGGTAATGCCTGCATAACTCATAACTCTCAGGGTTCTTCCTCCTTTTCTCCCCCTCCTTCCCCCCTCCCTCCCTCCGTCTGTGTCTGTGTGTGTGTTGTGTGTCTGCACAGGTGTGTGTGTGTGTGTGTGTGTGTGTGTGTGTGTGTGTGTAATAACCAAATCTGAGGGCCGAGAACTACTAGCCTGTCTCATGTTAGGGAGCCCAGGGGCTGGGGGTGCAGCCCACTAAACACCTCTACATGACATGTAAAAGTGATGGCTCCCCAGGAAACAAATGTTGGGAGTCCAAAAGACTTTTCGGGTGGAATTCACCTACAGTTGGATGAGTAGTGCCTGAAGGGACTGGGAGAATCTGGGGATTTATCATCAAGCCAGAACTGGAAGACCCAAAGGCCCGCCACGTTTTTTAGAGAACTCTCCCCACCAACCTCTGTAGGCCAGGACTACTTAGATGCCTCCAACAAGACCCAGGCAAGGACAGCTGTGGTCTATGGCTGCTCCTGGGAGCGAGCCTTGGTGTTCCTCTAGGGTTTTGCTTGCTTGAAGCCAGGAGAGTAAAGACTTCCCTAGAAACCTCTGACTGTCCTATCCTTGGGCCAAGCTCCGGACCAGCTTCTGCCAGTGTCCTCATTCTGGGTCACCAGCATGAAATGCCTTTCTCCTGTCCCGGGTGGCCCTTTCACTGGGTGGTCAGCCAACTATGGTGTAGCCCAACTACAGCCTGGGGACCAGTGTCGGAGCTTTACACTTGAACGCGAAGCGCTACCGTGGCTTCCAATGAACTTGCTATTTCCACGCACCCCAAACGGGAGCTGTTTCCCCAAAGCATAATTCGACTAGCCCACTGAGCCCTGGGCCACAAGGGCCAGCGTTGGAACTCCGGCTCTGCTGCCGGAAAAGAAAACAAAAGAGTTATAGAATAATTTTCAGGAACGCCAGAGCCTCAGGGGTCCTAGTAGCCCGACTCCTGGCTGCTCCTCTTGCAAGTGATCCGGAGCAAGGAAGCGATGCCACGAGCCCCGGCTGTCCAAGAAAGGGAGGGAGAAGAAGGAACTAAAAAATAAAATGAATTCTCGTACTCTGCCTCAGTTCCCGGACCCCGGACACACCCCCAAAGTATTCCGTGTTTTTTCTCTCTCAATCGCTCGCTCTTTTTTAATGTCTCCCGGAAAACCTAAGCAGGGATCCTTGGTGGCGAACAGCAGGAAGGAAAGAATCCGAGCAAATCCTGTCACTTTCCGCACAATCGCGTTGTTTGGCAAACCCCCTGAGCTGCTCCACAATATTTACTACCCGAGCGCACGCAGCGCCGCCCGCCGCGGGCTGCGACCGAACGCGCCCGGGACGGGCCTCCGAGAGCCGACCCATTCCGCCCGGCCGCCCCCAGCGCGGCCCGGCCACCGCCGCCCCCCTCCCGGGATCGAGCCGCCAGAATCGGTGCAGACAAAAGCAGAGCGTTCACCTTGTTGCAATAGTAGGGGTCCAGGCAGGGAGAAGGTCCCAGACAGGGAGCGGCGGGAGCAGCAGCGGGCTGGGCTGGAGGTGGATAAAATCTTACGTCCATTTCACTCTCACATCAAGCAACTCCTTTTCTTTTCCTTTTTGAAAAAAAAAAAAAGTGCTCAGCAAAAAACAAGCTTAGACGGAACAGAGAGAGGCGTCTGGGCTCAGGAGTAAAAGAAACACCTTCCTTCCCTCACATCCGTTTGTGGTTTAAGAAGAGGAGGAAAAAAAAAAAGAAAAAAAGAGGAAAAAAAATAGAGGGTGGAAAAGCGCTCAACTCTCCCCCCGAAGCCGCGGCGCGCACCCGTCCACGCCGAGCGCGCAGCCTGCCTGGTCCGCGGGGCCCCGGCGCTCTCGGCCCCGCCGCTGCCGGGCAGGTAACTTCACGCGCTCATTGTCCCCCCCGCCCGCCGCCCCATCCCCGCCTCCCGTGCCCCTCGCCGCCCGGCACTCGCGCTCGGGCTCGAGGTACTGGGCGTTTTATTGGAGACTCTGCCTTGCTCTGCTTTTAGTTTTTTCTCCACGTTAGAGGCCTGGGATGGGGGAGTCAGGGGGGACCCAGGAGAAGATCGGGGCCTGAGGAGACTAGCGCCCCGGGGCGGGCGGGGTGCCGACAGCGGCGGGACGCGGCCCAAAGGCGGCTGCTGGGGGACCGGGGACCGGGGACCGGGCGAGGGAGGAGCGCAGGGTGCGGAGGAGGGGAGCGCTGCCCGAGCAGTAGTGGCGGGACCCCTGGCAGCGTCCGCGGTGGGTGCTGTGGAGATGGATAAAAATCACACAAAGGGGCTGGAGAGTCGGAGCACGGGCTGCCTGGGGCACCGCAGGGAGCGCGCAGCAAGGGGGCGCTGTGGCGCACCCCGCCCAGCACCCCTCAGCCCCGCCCCCCGCCCCACCCCTTTCTCGGAGCCCCCCTACCATTTACCCGCCCGGAGTAGCTGCACTGCCATCCTCGGCTCCCAGCGGGAGGTGGAGGGGTGTGTGCAGCGTAGTGCTGCTCCGGGTTCTGCAGGGAGCGCGACCTCTCCCTGATGTGAGTGGGCAACAGGCCAAGGGACCCTAGTTGATCTCAGGGCAAGGAGCAGGGCTCCTGGGGTTGGTGCTCTGAGGGCTCCGCGTCCTGCTTCGGTACTCCGGTACTCCGCAAGAGGATTTACAGAAGTTAAACCTGACTGACAAAAAGACCCCAGGGGTGCTTGGAAGGGTAAATAAGGAAACAGTTATCAGCACGCCAGGAGCTACAGGGAACTCGCCTGGGTTTGTTAGCTGCCTCTGGAAGTTCTTTCATAGCTGGGCTTCCAATATAATTCTTAGAGCCCCCATCCCGATCCCACCCTCCAGGACCCGCAATCCTCTTCCCATTTCTCTCTTGGTCAGTGGGACAAACATATTATCAAGATTTGATTTTAGTTCCTCAATCCCAAAAACTTTTAATATCGTGTCCACCGGCATCTGAGAGAGTTGTGACAACCCTTGGTCACTGTCCAGCGGACCCCTCCGGGGAAGTCCTCAGAAGGAAGTCAAAGTGGGCATGGGCAATAGGCAGTGTTTACCTTTCAAGAGTAAGTTCTTCACTGCCACACACCTTAGGTGCCTAAGATCCTGAAAAGAAGCCAAAAGCTCGTTCTGAGTTTCTGGAGCCAAAGAATATATGGAAACTGAATTGCGGCCCCCATACCCGTTTAGAACATGGGGCAGTCTGTAGCTCTCTACTGCTTTCTCAAGGTTTCTCACCCCCTATAGTTACAAGCACCAGTCAAATACGAAGATCTGGGGGTGATAATTTAGCATCCTAGGGCCTCTCCCCTAGGCAAAGACCTTTGGGAACCTCTCCTCAGACATTGCTCCCCTCCAATGCGTCCTCTTTCTGATGAGTCTTTGATTTCCTTTAACAACTAACAAGAACATAGCTTCTTATCTCCAAAATAATGCAAGGGACTTGAGATGAGAGAGAGAAGACAGGAAGGATTTCACTCTGCATTTAAACCCTTTGAGTCCCAAACTACAAGCAGAAAGTGTGATCTTTTCTGTAATAAAGATCTTTATAATAAAATTTACGGCCACGTTTTGTGGTTCATATCACTGACTTTATAATTCATTTGTTGATGTTAAAATGTGTGTGTGTCCTCCCAAGATAATAAAAGTTTTTAGGTTTAAATGAAAGGTATCTCAGCTTAACTTTCTGCCACCAACAGATATTTATTATCACCAAATAACATCATATGAAGTTTGAGCTTTAAGAACTTTCTTAGGGTTCATAATCAGCTTCTGCTTGGCCCTGTGAGCACCAGAGAAACAGGTTTACTGCTGGAGTGGCATTTTGTGAGGGTCCTGATACCTGGGACCTATTGGGTGTGTCATACCCACTTCCTTCTGTGGCCATTATAGAAAACTCCAATTCTAGGGAATTGCAAACAATCAGCAAAAAGTGGATGGAGTCACAGTGAATTGCTTGAACTTTGCAAAGTAAGGAATTTGAGCTATTGGGAAGAAAGCACTTTCATCATTAGAGATTTAAATATCAGAGCATAGTCATGTTGATATAATAATTAAAAACACCCACAGCTTTATAGCATCCTACATAAGGTCTACAATGGACCGAATGCTGATAGTCTGCACCACTAGAGGGAAATTTGAATAGCTCCACCTTGAAGTATATATTACTTTAAAAACAAACGAGTTCTCTTCCTAGCATGTTAAGTTTCTCACTTATTTCTCCAGTCATTTATTTGTATAGTACTAACCAAAGACAGAGAGATATACAAAGCTGTATATGACTTTGGAAAAAAAAACAGACAAAACAAAACAGTATTTAAAAAACTGGAGACTTGCTTAGACATTCGTCAGCTGATGAATGGATAATGAAAACGTGATATACACATATACACACATACGTTATACACATTTGAATCCTATGTAGTCAAGAAAAATGAAATCAACAAATTTTCAGGAAAATAGATGGAGCTAGAAGGTGAGTTAACTCAAAAAGGCAAAAATCACGTTTTCTGTTATATAGTTCCTAGTTTACAATAATCATGTACATGGATAAAAGCCAGAGTGAGCATGCCCACAATTTATGAAACTAGGAAGGAGATGGGACTAAGTGGGAAGCGGGGAGAGCAATAGAACATGAGAGATGGGGAAATGGAAAATAGGGTAAGTAGGTACAGCACAAGGGTACACGGAGGGAGGGACGGAGGTGGAAAAAATCAACACAAACAACTTTGTCTGAAGATGTCACAATGAAATTTAATACTGTATGTACGCTAGTTAAAATTAAGTAAGGAAAAAGAACGAGGTGGGACAAAGGGATCAAAAAGTCCAGGGTCGTTCTTAGCCACACAGAAAATTGGAGGCTGGCCTGGGATACAAGAGTCCCTGTCTCAAATAAAATAAGTAAACATAAAATTATAATGTAAGATAAAGCACAAGTGGTTGCAAATGGGTCCTGCTCCAGATGAGCTACAGTTTAGAATCATCTTTTCCAAATTGTTTTTCTGTGAAGTCATCTTATAGCTTTCAAACACATTCATGCCTGGCCACCAGCCCCACAAATGCTGAGTCCCTTCATGCAGAGATGGGCCTGGCCTAAGGATTGGCTTAAAGTTCTCCTCTGGCGTCAGTCTTCAGGTGAGATGGAAACCACTGGTCTGTTGCCAAAATGAGTACACAGGAAATGACAAGAGCAAGAAAGGTTACTAGACATGCAAGGTCGTCCTGGGTCCTCGTTAGATGCCACCTGCCACCAAGGATTACCTCTACAGGGTAACTTCATTTGCCCTGGCCACTTAGAGATGGAGCCTCAGCATTTTCTGGTCTCTCTAAGTGAGCATTCATGAACTCTAATGTGTTCCTCCGGGTTACAGTTGGTTGCTGGGATTAAGAGCTTCATGTACTCTGAGAGGAAATGTGTGTCCATAAACTAGGCCTCTCCTTGCTAATGTTAGTGTCTTAAGACCAATATTTTGACTTGTAAAACACCTACTATGTCTCAGACTAGATCTGGATATTTTCGCATTTGACTCTTTGTATTGCAAAGCACGCTGTTAATACAGGTGTGCTCAGAGTTGCCTTCCCAAAGGCATTATGGGAGACGTTCTGCGTTTGTTTCTTTAGAATCTTAATCAACACTCAGCGCTCCACATTTTAAAGATTTCAAAAACATCATTAATGGATTTGATGGGAACCTTTACAATTTCTCAATTTACTGGTTAGAACTCGCTGCTGTCCAGGGTTATTTAACATTTTCTTCTAAAGTAATTTAAATGTAAACAAGAATGATGTGCAATAAGTACTATCTTAGAGTGGAGGGAGAGAATGCAGTGAAGTTTATTTCCTGGGGAGGCGAGTGAGAAATGACAAGATTGTAAGTCTTTCAACCAGAAAATAAAGGATTTCAGAATGATGAGGAAAGTTTGAAGGCAATGCTACGGGGTGTGCAGATACCTCACATGGCACTCAATGACTCATAAAATGCAGTATTTCTTACATAATATGGGAAGTGTGCCATGCATGTACATCTCGCCATTGAGTGTGGTATAGTACTTTGATCTTCAACAATATCCAACATTTGAGGCATAATAACGGTAATAGGGACTATTCAGCTCTTTTACACTGCGGTGATCCAGTTCTCTCTCATCAGGATAACCGTGAGGACAAATCCTTTCAAAATCAAAATTAGTTCCTTGTAGGAGAGTGAGACTACAATTATCCCTTAAATAGGAGCAGCTGCATCACATGGTAGGGGCCCGGAGCACGACAGCGAAGTGCTTTTCCAATGCAATTAAATAGATTTTTTTTAAATGCAAACTAAAATTCTGTTAAAAGTCAATTGAAAGGTGAGTAGGTGCGGAATTGCTGAGATGAAAGCAAGAGTCATTTTGCTTACCTGAGTTAATATTCCTGCCTGAGCCAATGTTATTTTGGTGAAAAGGGATAATCAAGACTCATATTTCCCCATGAAGTAGGACCCCAAATGGAACTAGGGGAATACAAAGGAAATAGAATTTTGGTGTATCTGTGCATTGCACATCGTATTTTGAAATGTTTTCGTAGCTATGTTTTTCTATTGCTGGGCTTTCAAAAAGGTATATTTCAACTGCAATACTTCAGTTTAAAGTGGGAAGGCAATAGCTGGGTGCAGAAACAGAAGGCACAGGATGGGAGAGTTTTGGTACCCATATCCAGAAGGAATTGGGGAGGGGTGGGAACTTGTCTTTTTTTTCCCACATGATCAAAGCTTTGAAAAATAAGGCCTTTAAGAAAGATTAAAGGACCTATCTAGAGAAGCCAATGTAGAGAGACAATGTAATGCTTTAAAATGCTGAGTATGGATGGTTTGATCAGCAGTAATAGGGGACACCGCCTCCAAGAACTTCCTGTGTGAGC